GGTCCGAAGGGTGGGCAGCAGACCCTCTAGGGCTTTCTAAGTAGGTCAGTGCCATCCACAGGGACTGCTTAGGGCCCTCATGAGCCCTGGGATCCTCTTAGCCACATCTTGCTTAGCATATTCCTTGCACGCAATGATTTGCATAAGGGTGTTTAAAAGAGCCTATCGATCTATGCTCTGAATTCCTTGTTTCTTTTATTAATTAGCAACTCCCTCCCTCCCTTTCCTTCCTTCCCTCCTTCTCTCCTCCCTCCCTTCCTTTCTTAGTGGGATAAAGGGGCCTTCAATGACCAGCAGGTACAGCTGTAATTTCTGAGTTAGTGCAGTCCAGACGGTCGAGGAAGCACGAAGATGCACCATTCTGCATGCCCCCAGCTGAGCTGCAGTGCAAGCAACGCAGCCCACCCCCAGCGGTGGTGTGAAAGGAGCAAGGAGGAAGCCCGCTCAGAACAAGGAGCACAAATGTGTATTCATGACATGAAGCCGTGGAGGGCCGTCCTCAAGGCAGCGCCCCGCATGCCGCCCCCACTCTGGACGGTCCCCAGTCAGAGGGCTTTGTTGGTGGTGTAGAGTCCCAGGCTTTTCGCTTTCTTTTAAACACCCCCTCCCCCCCCCAGTCCACAGCCACTGTGATGAATGAGTGAATGAACGCACAAACAATGGGAAGTGCCTTACGCCAGGCGTGCATCTTGATAATGAACTTGGCAGTGTGGTGTGATCTCTACTGCAGCAGGACTGTTCCAGGTCCAGCAGGGCCCTTGACGTCCCCTTGACCCTCACCCCCGGGCACTGTGCCCCTCGCATCTCACCTGGTGCCCTCCTGAAGGTGTCAAGTGTTATTTATGAGCACGTCTCGGGCGCCCGTTTTGCTGTGAGCTTTCTGATTAATTGCAGAGTGCTCTGCACCCAGTTGTTGCTCAGATGTGTGTTGAATAAATAAGTGTGAGTCCTCATTTAGAGCTAAACTGCACATGGGGGCGGATGTGGCTGGCTTCAGCCAAGAAAATGAGAACCAGATACCCATAGGCCTGTGGAGCCCCCCTGGGGCCCTGGAAGAGTCAGGGTGGGGATCACGGGAATGAGCAGTTTCAGGAGCTGGGGAGCACCTTCCCCACTGAAATTCCTTGCCAACATTCGGGGTTCTCTTCCACTCTCATTCCCTTGTTCCTGCTGCTCCTCCTTTGAGCTTGAAGTGGACAGTTTGAAATCTATCAGTGCACCTCTCCCTGCAAAAGCCCCCCGCCCCCCTCCCCCTGCCCCCAGCTCTCAGGGTGCTCGGGCAGTGGTTTGGTCCAGAGAGAGCCAAGGGCTGGCTCCCTGAGGGCGGGGGGCTTTGCCCACCAGGACATCCCCAGGGCCTGGCTCAGCACCAGACACATAGGAGGCACCCAGTAGACACCTGTTGGATAAAAATCATAAATTCACATGGTGACTCTGCTTTCTGAGAAGGTGGTACTAAGAAGAATTCGATGCTCAGTCTGAGGCAGCCGGGGAGAGCTGCCAGGATCTGCGGTGCCTGGGAAGTGGGGGGTCAGGGCCCCTGGGCAGTCCCGCCATCCCTGCTCTGGGTGATGCCGCCAGGACGGCTGGGGGAGGAGGGCCCGGCAAGCCTAAGCTACCGGCTGTGTCCTGTGTTTGAGAAATTAAGACCGACTCCTGCAAGGAGCAGGCCTTGATTCTGCCCTGCTCTCTGAGTCCCGCCTGCCAGTTCTGGGGACAGCCTCCAGGGTGGACACGCACTCCAAAAGGGCTAGAAGTGGTTCTGAAACAGGCAGAAATAAGCGATGGTGTCAGCAGCTAGGCTGGTGGTGCCCCTGGAAGGTGGTTGGTCACATTCTGGTCATTGACCTGGATGCTGGTTACACCAGTGTATGTGTTTATGTTGTGAAAATTCATCAAGTTTGACCCCTAGGACTTATATGCTTTTCAGTATGTGTGCTGAACTGCTTGTAAAAGTTGGATTTTTTTGCCCTAGCCAGTTTGGCTCAGTGGACAGAGCATTGGCCTTTGGACTGAAGGGTCTCGGGTTCAATTCCGGTCAAGGGCACATAGTTGCAGGCTCAGTCCCTGGTCCCAGTCAGGGCACTAGCTGGAGGCAGCCAATTGATGTGTCTCTCTCACATCGATGTCTCTCTCTCTCTCTAGCTCGCTCCCTCCCTCCTTCCCTTTGTCCCTCCCTCCCCCTTACTTCCATTCTCTTTAAAAATCAGTGGGAAAATACCCTCTGGTGAGGATTAACAAAACCCCCGAAAGGTTTATGTTTCTGAGGCCTGAGGAGTGCAGCAATTGGCCGCCTGCCCGCTGGAGTAAGGCGCGCCTGCTGGAAGGTTGCAATTCCGCTCGTTCCCAGAAGGTGGCGGCGTTGCGCCACTCGATAAACTGCAAGAACAGAGAACGGGGTTCCATTCTTCGCCTACCCTTCTTGAGGATTAAATGCTACTGATTTTATCTTTGGGAATTTAGATTGTTCCCTCCCTCCTTCCACCCCAAAGACATCTTTTAAAAATCTGACGTAAAAGTGACCAAAGCCATGGACTCGCAGTGAGAACGAGCGCAGGAGCACTGGAGCCCCAGGCAGCAGCCGGGAAGTTACGCGCATCCTCCCGCACCAGCGCTGCTGCGGGGAAGTTGCGTCGGGCAGCAGCATGTACACACGTACACTGCTCATAACAAGGTTTTACATACGCAGGCCAGGGGTCCTTTTTGTCTAGCTGACCCTCATCTCGTTCCTGCTCAAGTCTCTTTGATCAATTCTACCCCCCTGCCTCCCCCAAATCCCTTTGAACCACCTCTGTCCTCGCAGCCACGGGGGCTGCGCAGTGTGCGACCGGGGCCTGTCCAGAGGCCTTGTCAGGAGCGGACCTCCTCTGCATCAGAGCGTCAGAGGCTGTGGGCCACGGGAGAGCCTGTGACATGAGCACAGCCAGCCCCCCTTCACTAGAGCGGAGTTTGTGGTTGGCGCCCCCTCTGAAATGACTGGGTTTCTTGAACCTCGACATAAAAGCCACTCTGTGTAGGTGAACTCGAAGCCCAAGGTTTGCATGTGGAGAGGGAGGGCGGGCTGCCAGCGACGTGCATGGGAACGCCACTGAGCCTCCCGTGTCTTCATGGATATGAAACGCGGACCCGGGGAGCAGCCATGTCTCCACAGGTCATTCGTGGAGTTAGAGTAGCTCTTGCTCACGTGCCTCAAAGCTGAATCAGGTGGACTCTTCAGAGTAAACATTTTAAATCTGAAATGAAGTCATTCAGTGTGAGGGTCAACCTCAACTTGTCCTCTTTAGAGAAAAAGTTTGTATTTTACTATTCAGCCAGTAAAGGTGTGACTAAAACTCCTTTTTTTAAGAAAAAGAAAACACAGGCAATGTAAATAAATTATAAGCCATCTATATTGCAGAACACGAGATGTTTAAATACAAGCTAAATGCCCTCCCCGGTCGCTTAGTGGTTAGAGCATCAGCCAGCGGACTGCAGGGTCCCGGGTTCGAGTCCTAGTTAAGAGCACGTGCCTCAGTTGCAGGCTTGATTCCCTGCCCAGGTCAGGGCGCATGCGGGAGGCGATATGTCTCTCTCACATCTCTCTCTCTCTCTCTCTCTCTCTCTCTCTCTCTCTCTCTCTCTCTCTCTCTCTCTCCCCCCTTCCCTACCACCCTCGCTAAAAAAATAAATTAAATAAATAAAAATAAAAAATAAATCAATGGAAAAAAATCCTCTGGTGAGGATTAACAAAAAAAATAACATAAAAAATGATACAGATCTATATGGACTGCTGTGGAAAAAAAGGGCATTCGTATTGTTAAACGAAATGCCACAAAGTAACGTGCACTATGACCGCAACGATTTAAATCCACCCAGAAGTCTCTACAACCATATATGTGTATATACAGGTTTGCATGGAAAAGGTTTTGGAAAAAGTCTCCAGACTTTTCCAGGATATTCACCAAACTATTAAGAATAACTGCCTCCTCAGAGGGGAGTAGGCCTGGGGGGTGGGGGGGTTGACGTTCGATGAACAGAAAGGGTGTATTCGTGTATAATTTGTATGAGTTAGAAATGTCTAACGCAGGCCCTGAATGTAAGGTTAAGGGGAAGGTAACTGTGTGAACAGCCCGCGTGAACCTCCGTGTCCTCCTGGCCCTTCCGTGTGGTTCTGGAAACCTTACGAGTGTTTTCACGCGATCATTCCATTTCATCTCCCCAACGGCCTTTGAGGCAGACTTCTACTGCCTCCCTTTACGATAAGCGCTGATGCTGAGAACGAGTGCATTGCCTTGGCTCGTAGAATTCCTTGAGAAGCAGAATGGAGGCTCAAATCCAGGCCTTCCAAAAGAAGTTAGTACCTGCTGGTCTGACTTAATGTTTTTACCGCTTATTTATTTATGTTAATTGTATTATTGATTATTTATTTATTTATGTATTGAGAGAGAGAGAGGGAAGGAAGGAAGGAAAAGGAGAGAGGAATAAAGAACGTGGACTTGTTCCGCTTCTTTGCGCTCTCACGGTTGCTTCTTGTATGTGCCCTGACTGGAGATCGCACCCGCAACCTTGGCGTATTGGGACGACACTCTAACCAACTGAGCTCCGTGGCCAGGGCTCTTGCCACTAATTTCTTTTTTTTTTTTTTTTTAAATATATTTTATTGATTTTTTACAGAGAGGAAAGGAGAGAGATAGAGAGTTAGAAACATCGATGAGAGAGAAACATCGATCAGCTGCCTCCTGCACATCTCCTACTGGGGATGTGCCCGCAACCCAGGTACATGCCCTTGACCGGAATCGAACCTGGGACCTTTCAGTCCGCAGGCCGACGCTCTATCCACTGAGCCAAACCGGTTTTGGCTTGCCACTAATTTCTAAGGAGCCATTTGTTCAAGTGGGTTTACAGGTGGCAGTGCTCAGCCTACCTGTTTTCAGAGAGGGCGGCCCTCTCTCTCCAACTGCTGTCCTCTGGCTGCTTTGAATACCTCGCCCACCAGTCTTCTTCGCCTGCTCTTTTCGCAGAGAGCCTTTCCATAAGCTGCTGGCCCAAGGCCTTATCAAGGGGCAGACCTTCCGCCTTCCATCTGGTCAGTATCTACGGAGAGAGGAAGTCGATCTCACAGGTAAGAATGGCCCATCCGGTCCCATCCAGGTGGGTGCAGAGGACCCAGGCCAGGCCTGAGAGCCACTGACAAAGGCCTTGGCTGGGTGCGAAGCAGGAGCGGGGCCTGTGGCCTCCTGGTCTCAGCCTCGGCTGGCTCTGGGCCCGCCCTCTGCAGGTGGCCAGGCCCCATCCAATCCAGCCTGTTAGCTACTGGCGGGTGTTCATCCGTATGTAACATGGAGCCAGTCGGGCGTCGCCTCCTGTTCCAGCTCGTGTTTGACAGCCCCTGTCAGGGACAGCTCCCAGCCAGGAGACTGGGGTCCCTCCGCGTTTCTGCCACGTGGTCTAGAGGCACATTGGAGAAGCTGGGGGCCACCTCTCTACTTGCTCCCGCAGCCCCCACAGCCACCCGTCCAGGTCCAGCGCTGCCTGGTGGACGCCCTCCCTCATTACCTGGACAGCACCCCCTGCTCTCCTGAGCCTCTCCCTCTCCCTCCACCCTGTGCTTCACTCTTCCTCACAGAGAGCACCTCCCACCGGCTCCTTAGGTGGCGTGATGAGCACATGTCCTGTGCACCCAGCACACAAACAAAGTAAACGGCATGTTCAAAAATGCGGAAGGGGGTGACACGGAGGCAGCTGTGAGAAACCCCCGGCACTGTGGCCCTGAAATTCTTTAGGAAACCAGTGCATAATGGGTGAGATTAGGTGAAGCCAACACCCCTTAAATGGTCGGCAGCCTCCCCCACCAAGCAGTAGAGGAGTTACCTAATCAAAGCGGTCAGATGTCCGGTTAGCAATGGTCACCGTGGGAGAAAAAGGAGCTGGAGAAGCAGAAGTTGGCAGTGTTTCTCCAGCACGGACCAGGGGCACATAAACCCAGCTCTGAGGGAAGCGGTCAGGGCACAAAGGCACCAGCCGAGGGCGTGAGCGAGGCCTGACAGCCAGCCACGTACCAGACGAGGCACCCCAGGGCCACATCTGCCGAGAGGGGCCATTTTAACTCCTTAGCTTCCCTGCCCAGAAAGATGCCTTTTTCCTGATTCTCCTGGTTCGCACAGCAGGGCTGTATATGCGAGCACAGCCCGGAGCAGCGGTGGGGCCCTGGGGGGCAGAGGTTCCCTGAGCCTCAGCACAGCCCGGAGCAGCGGTGGGGCCCCGGGGGGCAGAGGTTCCCTGAGCCTCAGCACAGCCCGGAGCAGCGGTGGGGCCCCGGGGGGCAGAGGTTCCCTGAGCCTCAGCACAGCCTGCACCCAACAGCTCCCTCTGCTCCGAGGCCAGTGTTGTGAACATCTTCCCCTTCTCACGGAGACTTGTCCCCGGGAGCGAAACCGAGGGTCAGCAGGGTAGGCCTCCATCCACTTGTGTGTGTTCCTCTCCTGAAGTGTGGACTTGGCTTTTAGGCACATGTTTCGGTCCCTTGGGCGTTTGACGGTTTTAGCACAAGGATGTGGGGGCATCACCCCAGCGCAGCTGCAGGAAATACCAGCAGCCTCACCTCGTGGGGGACGTCCCCAGGCCACTCCTCTCTCCTCCCTCTCCTCCAGCCCCTGGTTCCTCTTCCTGCTTCTCTCTGTCCTGTTTTCCAGGCTTGGATTCTGCTCGCCCCTCATTTCCGTTTGCAGAGAGACCTTAGGGAGCCACTGTGCCCGGTCTTGCCCCATCTCTCTGGTTTTTATGGCTGCAGTGCCCAACGCCATCCAAACAGAGCTTCTGTCTCCTAGTTCCAGGTCCTGAGAAAGAGGCTTAGCCTGGTCAGATGTCCTTCCTGGCCCCGGCCTCCTCCAAACATGGCCATTTCGGGCCTCCTCTGCCAGCGCCCCCTGGGCCACTGCGTGTGGGTGGGAAGGAGACACTTCCAAGAACAGGGCGTGGCTCTGGCAGCATCGAGGGACCACATTCATGTGAGCCCAGTGAGTTAGCTCCGTGGCCTTGACAGTGTGAGATCATTGGTGACTAAGACCTGGACTAAAGGCCAGTGACCGAGACGCAGGGCGCTGTGCTGCTCTGAGGCCTCGCTGGTCAGCCGCCAGCTCCCATAGGAAACCCCGGATCCACAAAGAAAACGGCAATGCGTATGAGTCCTTCTTATCCTTCCTCATTTCCTCTTTCGGTACATGCTTTTATTAAAGGAGAGATTGCTTTGTCTTATTTTGTGGTTGAGAAAAGATTATATTCATGAAGGAAGATTTGTGGTGGGAGGTGAGCCTCATTCACATAAAAACAGTTTTTGTCATATAATGCGGATGGAGCGAGAGGGGCTTGTTCAGTGAATTAGCGGTGTTCCCGTGGGCAGTTGTAACTGCTCACCCACTGTTTTCTTATTGAATGTATTTTCATAGAATCAGTTCAGAGGTGCACACGCCGTACCTCTGTATTATTTTGGCATCTAGGTTCTGTCCCTGTTCATGCAAAAACAAAGGAGACGCTGGAGGTGACGTGGGAGAAGATGAGCAAGTCCAAGCACAATGGGGTGGACCCCGAGGAGGTGGTGCAGCAGTACGGCATCGACACGGTCCGCCTCTACCTCCTCTTTGCTGCCCCCCCAGAGAAGGATATCTTGTGGGACGTCAAGAGTAAGTCGCCTGCCTCTTCCTGCTCGGCCCCCTTTGTCATCAGCCTGTATGCCGAAGGCATTCGGGGACGCCGCTGTCCTGGCTGAAGGCAGTGGGAGAGGGGTCTGGAGATGGGCTCCGTGAAGTGCGTGGCCATCTGTCCGCATCAGCCAGGGTGGTGCCCCTGGGAGCCCAGTGTCTCAGGTGAATGAGCCTCTGAAACACCCGGGAGCTCGTTGGCATCACAGGCTCCCCGTCCTCACCCCTGCTGCCACGGCCCCAAGGCAGGCCCAGGAGCCTGCCTCCGACAAGCCCGTGGACCCAGGTTCCACGAGGACCCACCTTGAGAACGTGTCCTTGGAGCCAGACTGGCCTCCATGCTGCCCCTGGGCCCCTGGTCTGCCCTGACAGGGTTTTTCTAGAAGTGCCATCACCCTCACCAGTCCAGAAACATGGCCTGGGCCTGGGCCTGGACCTGGGCCTGCTGTTACGGGACCTCTTTGGTCGCCACGGCCTCCAGAGCCCCCTCGGGGAAGTCTCTCTCGAAGCCATTTAGATCTGCAACGGCATGAAGGAAACTCCTCTTGGATTTATTATATTGTTATATGTACACATCACATACTTATAAATAGCATAAGTGTCTTTAATACACACATTACATATTTAACATGGGTAGTATGTGGCATGCTTATTACATACTTACAAGTAATATGTATGATAAATATGTAAAATAATCTGGGTGTCCTGGATCCCTGTCCAGCGGCCATTCACGCTTCCTCGGTGATCTGCTCATGCGTGTGACGGGAAGATGCGTGCAGATGCCTGGATCGCCCCCTAGTTTGCCACCTCATGTCTAGGGAGCAGGGTGGCTGGAGGAGCCGGAGGAGCCGTCACAGGCGCCAGTCCTGGGCCGGCTGCCATAGAACCCGGGATTAGGAAGTGCAGACCTGGGGGCGCAGTTCTGCTCCCTCCCCGCTTCAGGCAGCCTCCAGGCAGCTGCTCCTAGCGAGCCTTCCCAGTGTGCATCAGGCTTCGGAGCGCCTAGTACAGTGGCCCAGGAGGAAAGACCGGCCTGGCCTTCATCTGGCTGACCCTTGATCCAGGGCGACAGGATGAGGCGCGCATCTTCTCCTGGAAATCAGATCAGCACCCAGATTGGGTGAGCAGGGTTGGCATAGGCAGTCCACACGTCTGGCAAGGACACGTGGTGTGCAAACAGCTCGTGCTGTATGCGGTTGGCTCCCAGCGGTCTGCAGACCACCACCCTGAGTGTTACCTGCCCCGGTGAGATGGGGACTGTGTCCCCAGGCTCCCTGTTGTGCCACAGACACTTCATCAGGCAGTGTGCAGTGCGCACATCCTGGCCGAGCTTCTGAGCTCCGAGGGCAGGGACAGACATGGGCGGCACTTTAAGCAGCCTTGCCTCCTGGTGCTCAGAGCGTCTGGGTCGCTGAGATCTGATGGAATCACCCTGGTCTGAGTTCCCAGACAGTGGCGGCCAGGGAGGACCATCCACCTGCCCATGGATCCATCCACGGGGCACAACCAGGTGTGTCCTCAGTTCACAGGTGCTTTTTGAGGCTCAGGAGTAACCCAGTCATTCCCATGTGTCTCTCTTTCTCTCTCATCTACCGACACCATCGCAGCCGACGCGCTGCCCGGTGTGCTCAGATGGCAGCAGCGGCTGTGGTCCTTGGTAACCCGCTTCATTGAGGCCAGAGCTTCCGGGGAGGTTCCCAGGCCCCAGAGGCTGAGCAGCAAGGAGAGAGCCGAGGCCCGCAAGCTCTGGGCGTTCAAGAACACGATCATCTCTCAGGTCAGAGACTTTGCGGGGACACTGGGTGACTCTGTAAGGGGCACTCGAGGTTTGTGTGGCTACCTTCCTCCTCATTGTAGTAGCCCCACTGGCCTTGAGTAATCCATCTACTGCTTTGATATTTCGCCAAGGCGGAGCAAAAGTGCAGCATTCTTGTGGAGAGACTTGCTCTCCGGAGGTGGCCCCTCTAAGGATGGCCCGGATCTCAGGGAGCTGCCTGCTCTCCATGTGTCCATACCTAACATGTGTGGGCAGAGCCCAGCTCTAACACCTTAGAGCAACAGAAGCAGAATTTGAGAGGTGAAAGGGCATGAAGGACGCTCTTCTTTTGCATCCGCATTCTACAGATGGGGACAGAGATGAGGCACAGAGAGGTTAAGCATCTTGCGGAAAGTCACACAGCTAGTTAGGAGCCAAGAGGCTAGAATCCAAGTTCCCTGGTGCAGGACGTGCCCAGCCAGTGACGTTGTTGCACAGTATCTGTGTGAGTTATTGTGGGTTAATGTTTGCAAATAAACAATTTATTCATGTTATATTCTTAGAGAATAGTGTATTATTGTCTAAATCATTTAAAAATATTCTTCATTGATAACAAACCCTTTAATTTTTTTTTAAATCTAGGAGTCTATTCTAATAAAATGATATTTGCCTCTTTTTTTTTTAGTTGGAACTTTTTTTTATCCTCACCTGAGAATATTTTTTTAATTGATTTTTAGAGAGCGAGGGAGAGAAGTAGTGATGTTACCTGTATGTGCCCCGACCGGGGATCTAACCCACAACTTGGGTATGTGCCCTGACCCGGAATTGAACCCACCACCTGTTGGTGTGGAAGATGATGCTCCCATCACCTGAGCCACCAGGGCGACATTTGCCTTTTAAGAACTTGGTGAAAAAATGTCAGTCTCTGAAAGAAGGCATTTAGGAACTCTGAAGCCATTTTTAACGGGTACCAGAGACCCCAGATGCTCCTCGGCTGCGTTGCTGTTTTTTAATGTGCTGATTCAAATGTATAAAGTCAGCCACGGTCCCTTCCGGATGCTGGTAGCCGATGACACTGAAGAAGGGTGTTGTTCCTCTCTGGCCGTGTGACCTGACGTGGCCCCGGGCGCAGCCTGGTCTCGTTTGGGGACACCTCCTCGGCTTCCTTTCCGCCCTCCGTCCTCTGGCGTGGAGACCGGAGGCAGGGAGTGCACTGGTGCTCTGAGTGGCGCCTGAGGGATTGTTTTCATTCCACATACTTTCTCTCTGGGCCTGGCAAGTCCTTCTGCCCTGTCAGAGAATAGCAGTGGGTTATTTCAACACAGCGGGGACTCTGGACATCTGAAAGATGTGTTCTTTCTCTGTCTCCTCGCCCGTGGTCAGAATGGGAAAGCACACACACAGGGCAAAGCTGACAAACGTATTCGTGGTCCGAGGTCGACTGCACGTTGGAAAATGGAGGACGAACCTTGTCCACGTGTTGATCCTCCTCCTTAGGAATCGAAGCCGCGCAGCCGAGGGGACGGGCCGCCCTTTACCCGTCTCCTGTCCACTCTGGCTTCCGTGTTTACTCGTCGGGGGTCCTGCCTCCTGCTCCCCGCGTTTTCTTAAGGACCCGCCACGAGCACCAGCACCTCCCAGCTGTGGGGGAAGAGGAACCATCGACATGGTTTTAGCACTCTTTGTGCTGATGAAACATTATTGTGATGAGTTGAGCCAGTGAACACGTATAAATAGCTACGGTCGCATTCATTCAATTCACACTTTTGGATGAGGCCCTGTTTCTTTGTGGAAAGCTTGGAGGAGTTCTGAAGAAAGTGAATAATTCAACTTTCACCCCTAGGTGACCGCCCACTTCACGGAGGACTTCTCTCTGAACTCTGCCATTTCTCATCTGATGGGACTCAGCGGGGCCCTCTTGGTAAGCGGCCTGTCTGTCCCCGTGGGCTGTGGCCGAGGTGCCGGCAAGGGCTCAGGCCGGGGGCTGAGCAGCACCACGGTGTCACCTTCTTTGTCTCAAAGAAGCATTTTGTCCATAGTCACAGCCTTGTCTTATAGCTGGAAGGTTCCGAAAGATTATCTGGTCCTAGCCCCCTCCGCCACCCTCCCCCGTGTTTTGGTGATGAGGATGCACAGGCCTAGGTGGTGGGTTGACAACTCCAGGAGCAGCCCAGGGCCTCCGAGCCTTCCCGCTGTGCCTCCTCTTCCTGCTCCCATTGCCTGGGCTCCTGTGACTACCCCCCACCCCTGACCCCCCGGCATCATTAACATTTTAATTCCTTTAACTTAGACCAGTCAGGTTTGCTCTCACTGAGAACAGAAGTCCGCCTTTGCAGGACAGTCTCATCGCCTTGGGACAAGTGACTGTCCTTTTTCTTGCCCGGCCAAGGACTTGCCAACAAATGGAACTTGGGCAAGGGGTTAGTTGTTTGGACAAGAAAAAAAAAAGTATTAACACATTTAAACTATTAACTCTTAAAACTATTAACACATGCTTTTTATAATGAAGCCCTCTCCAAGCCTTTAAGAACAGGGGAAGAGATTTATAGATTGAACTACCTAAGGCTTGCCACTTTTAGTATAGTTAAACATGCCATATTAGAAGATGGATAAAAACTGGGGTAGACGTTAGCCATGTGCCCAGGGAGATGACTCCCCTCTAACCCTCAGCTGCTCCCGCTGTCCCATGGGGTCAGAACGCCGCCCTCAGAGGGCCGTGTGAGAGCTGAAGGAGTGGGCGTCAGACCGAGGGCACAGTAAGTGCTCAGTTAAGAGTGGTGTACTTGTTGGTACTGCTGAAGCTGTTTTTAATACTGTCATCTAATGGGGAAAGTTCTTGGTCCAGAGCCAACAGGGCTGGTCCAGAAGGCTGCTTCCAGCCTGCGGAGTGTCTGGACGTCAGCTACGTCCTGGCGTGCTTGCTGTGCGTATTCCACGTGCCTTCGCAGTCTTACATCCGTGTTCTCTTCCCCGCAGCAAGCTTCTCCGAGAGTCGTCCTCCACAGCCCCGAGTTCGAGGACGCTCTGTGTGCCCTGCTGGTGATGGCCGCTCCGATGGCCCCTCACATCACCTCCGAGCTCTGGGCAGGTAGGTGGGCGTCCTCGCCCAACAAGTCACTGCTCCCCAGCACGTGCTTGAGCCTCTTGCAGAACCTGATGCGGGACTCAGGTGTCCTGCGCCCGGGGCCCGGGGTTTGGCATCTGTGCTCGTCTTGTGCTCGGAATAGTGGTGCTTTGTGGTCACCGCGCCCAGAGGGGAAGACACCTCCCCCTTTGGAACAGTGAGAGTACCGATGTCACCGCAGAACATTCACCGAGCCTCCTGGCGCCCACACGTCATGACCCATGTCATGTTTTTAAGATAGAAACTCATGGTTAGTCCCACTTCACAGATGGAGAAAGGGGCCCCGGACGGACAATGCAGATCTGAACTGCACCCACTGAGGCTGCCATTCAGGCCCCTGATTCCTCAGCCGGGCACTGCAGCCGGTGTGACCGCCTGAGGCTCAGATGGATCCGTGTGGATGCCTCTGCCCCACCCTCCCTTGGAGATTGGGTTCTGGGTTCTGGGGTGGGAGAATCTGCTTTAAAGGCTCCTGGTGATTCTGATGCACAGGCAGGTGAGCTGTGTCCTCAGCGTGAGACCTGCTGTCAGGTGACAGCCAAAGGCAGGGCTTCCCTGTGCTTTCCCGTCTTGGGGCAGCTCATTGAGGACGTTTTATAGGGCCCCTGGTGGTTCTGAAAGGCCATCGCTGCAATACCCGCATCTTCTCCTCTTAAGAAATAATTTGAGCCCGGCCGGCGTGGCTCAGTGGTTGACTGTCTCACCCCATGAACCAGGAGACATGCCCTCCTATTCCTGGTCAGGGCACATGCCCAGGTTGTGGGTTTGATCCCCAGTATGGGGCATACAGGAGGCAGCTGATCAATTTTATCTCATCATTGATGTTTCTATCCCTCTCTCCCTCTCCCTTCTTCTCTATGAAATCAATTTTTAAAAATATTTTAAAAAATAATAATTTGAACATTCTCTGCATTAAGCCACCTTCTTTAACTATTCTTTTCCTTTCCTCATCTCCATTTTTTGTAATTTTAATATGATATGGAACTATTTTATACAATAGTATGAGGTGTTAGTCTTTTTCTTTGTTAGAAGGAAAAGAATGGAATTTACTTGCTGTTAAAGCATCTTGCCCAAACGAGTCTCAGTTCACTTAGGAAAGCGAGGGTCATCGGTGTGTTTCTCTGCAGCCCCGAGTCCCGGGCCTGGCAGGTGCAGGAGGGCCACGCTGAACCCTGCAGTGGCCCCTGGTGGGAATGGAAATGAAGTGACAGGTGCTGAGCGGGTGGCTGTGCGGATCCCAGGCCCTGGGCCCCCAAACCTTGTGTTCAGTGGTCTCCTGTGACCACTGGGACGTTTCGCAGGAGACGGGCCGCCTAGAATTCTGGGTCGCCACAGTGCTTTTATCCGGGGCCTCTGAGAAGTAGCAGACCTCACCGCGGCGCTTCCCGCGTGTGCCGACCAGGGGCCCGGAAGTCACACAGAAAGCACCGGCTCCTGAAATAAGTGCCGTTGGCCACACACGCAGCCAAAAACGTCATTCAGTCTTTCAAAGACCAAAGGGAGCCGCAGAGACAGGGAACCACAAGGAGGAAGTGGTGACTGGGTGCTGCCCTGACCGGCTCCAAGTGAGGGGACAACCATGGTGGGGGTGTTCTGTGATGGGTTCTGTGAGCCCTGGACTGGGGGGTTGTGATTTTCAGTGACACTGGGTAGTGATTTAGAAGGAAAGGGAGTTGAGGAGGTGATTGTAGGGACTTCATGAGGATTGAACACGTTCCAAGAGTGAAGACACAGGAGGCAAGGAAAGGTAAGAACTAGCAGCATTCGAGAGACAGCCCTGGCCGGTTGCTCAGTGGTTAGATCAGTGGTTCTCAACCTCCCTAATGCCGCGACCCTTTAATACAGTTCCTCATGTTGTGGTGACCCCCAACCATAAAATTATTTTCGTTGCTACTTCATAACTGTAATTTTGCTACTGTTATGAATCGTAATGTAAATATCTGATAGGCAGGATGTATTTTCATTGTTACAAATTGAACATAATTAAAGCATAGTGATTAATCACAGAAACAATATATAATTATATATGTGTTTTCCGATGGTCTTAGGTGACCCCTATGAAAGAGTCGTTCGACCCCCAAAAGGGTCGCGACCCACAGGTTGAGAACCGCTGGGTTAGATCATCAGCCCATGGACTGAAAGGTCACAGGTTCGATTCTGATCAAGGGCGTGTACTTGCGTTGCAGTCTAGATCTCCAGTCGGGACACATGCAGGAAGCAACCAATTAATGTATCTCTCACATCGATGTTTCTCTCTCTCTCTGTCTCTCCCCCTCCTGTCCACTCTCTCTAAAAATATTAATAATAATAAATAAAAATAACAACAGTGTTTCCATATAGATGGGAACGGGCTGTCCTGCCAGCGAGGAACAGAAACCCCCGCCGGGTTCCATGCAGGCTCTGCCTCCCAGTCTTTTTAGGGAAGCAGAAGCCCCTGGCATTTGCACGGCAAATACGACGGTTTCTGTACGTCACGCAGGTCGGGGGGGGGGGGGGGGGGGGCCTTGGGGAAGCACACGGAGAAAGTCCGAGCGCAGCTGGGAAGTGCCTGCAGGTGTGAGATGCCAGGAAACAGTTTCACCAACAACGCAGTTCTGATCCCCGTGAGGGACCTCTTCCCAAGGAAGCAGCACGGACACGGTCCTGAAGCTCAGTCCCGCACGCTAATGCCAGCCAAGGGGAGCACCTCAGGCAGGTGGGTGCCAGGGTCCCAGGTGTGAACACTTGTTCTGAGCCGAGGATCCCGGTCCCAGGCATCGAGGGTCCCAGCTGACACTCGCTGAGCCTGCAGTTCTGCTGTGTCCTCAGCCACAGGCTGCCAGGCACACCCCTGTGTTAACAACTTGGGTCTGTTACCAGGGCACGCAGGGCTTCTGTGGGCAAAGGCTACAGTGATGCGGCCTCGCTTCCTGTCCACTTGCTCGGCATGGCGAGGGCTGGACGAGGCACGGGGGTCAGACGCCACAGCGTCCCCACGTCCCCCCTTGTGTGTAAGAGGCAGGCCTGAGGCTGGCCCCGGGGAGGCCTGAGGCTGGCCCCGGGGAGGCCTGGCGTCCACAGGAGCCGTGACCACCCGGCACTCTCTTCCGGTGGCTTGACCTCGCCAGCTCTCCGAGTGGGAGGGGGTTTGATTCGGTTATTTCCCAGGAAGGTCAGTGACGACAGCTCTCCCAGGGGGGCGGAGGGGGGCCATGGGCCCGGCTGGGCCTGCGTGGTGGCCTTGTGTGCAGGCCGGCCACTTCCCAGCTGCGCTCGGACTTTCTCCACGAGCTTCCCCAGGCCAGCTTCGCCCTGACCTGCCTGACGTACGGAAACCGTTGTATTTGCTGTGCAAATGTCAGGGGCCTCTGTTTTCCTAAAAAGAGCGGGAGGCAGAGCCTGCATAGGCCCCGGGGGGTTTCTGTTCCTCGCTGGCAGGACGGCCCACTCCGTCCATATGGAAACTCGTGGGCCGGCCGCTATAAATACGCATCCGGGTGGCTCCAGGAAGGCCGGGCTTCCTCGTCCACTCACAGGGGAACTTGTAACCGCTTCTGCCAAGGCTCTTCCATCGGGCAGCATCCTGTGCGATGCCTGGCGGAGGTTCCTGAGTTCTTCCCAGTGCGGCTGGGTCACAGGACCCGCCATCCCGGGCCAGCGGCTAAAATAAGGACATGGCCATCTCGCTCCGTGACCTCCGCCTTCTACTTAGACGTGAGTGTCAATAGGCTCCCTTCCTGCTTCTGCTGGAGGCACATGTGTTAGAAGCAAAGCGGGTTCGTTGGCGAGCACAGGAGCCCCAGCTCCCAGAGGCCAGTGGGGCCCAGGGACCTGTCCTGTCCACCACTCGATCGCCGACCCGAGGGGCCGTCGCTTCCCCGAGATGGACGGACAGCGCGGGGTTGCAAGAGCGCCGGATAGGAAAACAGACAAAGCTGCGGCAGGGACGCCCGTGGTACTAACGCAAGAATCCAGACGAGGTCAGCAGGGTAACTCGGACCAGTGCTGCTCAGAGTGGCCCGTGGCCTGTGGCCCTGCCGGTCGGTCACACACAGTCCTCGACGAGACAGGGAGCCTGTGCTTAGGAGGTGCGTCGGGCGTCACTGAGCGCGCAGCGGAGACAGGGCGGCCGCAGCTTTTGGTGGCGAGGCCTTTCCTACGAAGGGAGCAGGGTGTGTGCATTCACGTTGAGGCGAGTTTCCACCTCCTCGCAGACGGGCACGTCAAATAGCTTCGCGGTGAATACTCCCAAGCCATCTCTAGGATAAGGTTTGTAAAAGAAATATCACAGACCAATAGGGAGGAGAACTGCTTGAATAAGATTAGGAAAGTAGCCGAAACCGGTTTGGCTCAGTGGATAGAGCGTCGGCCTGCGGACTGAAAGGTCCCGGGTTCGATTCCGGTCAAGGGCATGTACTTTGGTTGTGGGCACATCCCCAGTGGGAGATGTGCAGGAGGCAGCTGATCGACGTTTCTCTCTCATCGATGTTTCTAACTCTCTATCTCTCTCCCTTCCTCTCTGTAAAAAAAATCAATAAAATATATTTAAAAAAAAAAAAAAAAGATTAGGAAAGTTGACTGTGTGTGTTTTTAAGTAATGCCCAGGCATCTGTTTCTCTATGTGTGTACGTCCTGCACATTTGGGGGCATCACCTGTGCTCACGGGATCTGCAGAGGCTTCCAAATCAGAGCTTTCCTTTGTGGGCGCCCCAGGTAAAGCTTGGGCACCGACAGCTGGCCCTGCAGCCCTGTGGGTGCAGACGGAGCAGGGAGCGCCTGGGCACGGCTCCTCAGCTCAGGGTGCAGCGGGAAGCACTCGGGGATTCATTCCTCTGCCGCTGTGTGTCTGACCCACCCTGAGCCACGGTCAGCTCTCTCCAGTTCCATGATTGGCAGGAACGCCTCGTGGAGGTGGAGAGAAGCCGTGGGGCCCTCAGACTACCGTAGTCGCGGCCCAGAGAGGAAGCCAGCAGCTTGGGGTTTGGGGATCCGCTCTCAGCACAGAGGTGTTCCGTCCCCGACAGAACTGCAGGGCCCAGCGCGGACCAGCAGCCTGGTCTCCCTAGAACGCGTGTCCATTCATCACAGCTCTGGGCACTGTGAGAAAAAGCTGCCTGTAGCCTGGGGATAAGCCGGGCCAGAGTCAGTGGGGAGCAGCTGGTAGGCTCGGAAAAGCCATGGTGCAGCCTCCGGAGCCTTGAGTGCTCTCAGTGACCCTCTGACCTTGACCTTGCAGGCCTGGCGCTGGTGCCCAGGAAGCTCTGCACCCACTACGCCTGGGACGCCGGCGTGCTGCTCCAGCCCTGGCCGGCTGTGGACCCGCAGTTCCTGCAGCCGCCCGACGTGGTGCAGATGGCCGTGCTGGTGAGTGGTTCCCGCAGCCCCCAGCGCAGGCGGGCCTGCGGGGCAGGGCCTGTCCTGTCGGTCTGGCGGTTCTGTGGTCTTTCTGGCCCATCCTGCCCTGCCCGCCCATCTCCTTTGCCCGCATCTCTGTCTGAGGTCACCAGGTACCAATGTTGCGCATGAACCCTCATGCCCTCGGGGTTGGAAAGTGGGAAAATAAACCTGTCCCGCATTACAGGGTGATTATCTTCCTTTCCAGCTGTCTCCACCTCTCTCAGCTTCATTCACCTGCTCTTGGTTCCAAGCGGGGAGGTGGTGATGGTGAGGAGGTCGGCCATGGAGGTCACCCACTCTGAACACTGTGTTGCAAAAAGGCTACATCAAATTCCTCTCGCTCCTCGCTCTCTCACTGCACTTGGTCCTCCAAGAAGCGGGTGTTGCTTGTCCTTCTTCCTTCCCCACCCTCCCTTCCCCCAACAGACAGCGGGCCCTTGGCAGGAAGTGGGTTTGGGCACCTGGCTGCTGTCTCTCAGCCCTGCTTGTCTCTGGCTTTTCTCCTCAGATCAACAACAAAGCCTGCGGCAAAGTCCCTGTGCCCCAGCACGTGGCCCAGGACCAGGACAAAGTCCACGAGCTCGTCCTGCAGAGCGAGCTGGGCGCCAGGCTCCTGCAGGGGCGCAGCATCAAGAAGGCCTTCCTCTCACCCAGGACGGCCCTTATCAACTTCCTGGTGCAGGAGTGACCCCACCGGGTCCCCAAAGGACCTCCGTCCAGGCCTGGACGACGAAGAAGATGCTGGCCAGGGCGGGGAAACACAGAAGTCCTGAATGTTTACCTTCGCGCTCTGGCAGATGGGCGTCAGCAGTGTGCCCTGTGGTGTGGCCTGGTGCAGGGTGAGGGTGGGCAGAGGAGAAAGATGAGTGGTGGCGAGGGGGGGGGCAGCCTACCCCCCGCATTACCTGGTGGAGGAAGCCATTGACCCCATTGAAGCCACCAGAGACGGCCGGGCAGGCACAGGAAGTGATGGGCATAGCACCAGGCCTCTCAAGCAGCCTGGTGCTTCTGGATCCAGAAATGGCACCCCCCAGGGACACCCAGGAACTTGTGGGTAAACCGAGCAGCCCCTTGAGGCTTGGGAGCAGCGTGGACAGTCCCTCTGAACGGGTAACAGCCTGGGCATCATGGTGGGTGGCTCCTCGCTCAGGCCAGATGGGAAAGCCGTGTGGGTCCAAACACCCAGCACGTGGATGGACGCCGGAGTCCTCAGACGTTGCGGTGCCAGTCCCTGTGCCAGTGTCCCCACTGCTCCTCAGCTCCGCCCTGTAGGTGGCATCCTCCCCCGCCCCACTGGATGCGCCCACCACCCGCCGGGCGGAGCATCACTTCCTTCCCTGAGTGAGGAGCCGCTCAGCTAACCGCCCCTGCGGGGTAGAACATTTGCTGTGCAGCGAGGCAGAACCAAGCCGCTTCCAGCCGCGGATGGAACCAATCTCAGAGCCACCGCAGCCCCGCAGGGAGTCTGCTCACTGGGCCCCAGATGGCAACGCTGCCTTTGAGACCGTCCCCAGAGCGGGTTCACCACAGAGGATGGGACGGGCGCCACCCGGCGTTGCCTCCCGTGTTCGAGCCGCCCCAGTCCGGCTGCTGGGAGGTGGCCAGGAATGCACCTGTATTGGTGGCGAACTAGGATCATCCTGGCTTTACGTGAAGTCAGCAACTCGCTGCTCCCACCAGAACTGACCGTAGCCACTGAGGAATATTGATGGGGAAAGTGGGGGAGCAGCTAGCCATTGTGTGACGCTGAAAATCTTTTTTCTCGGCCATTTTTCTGAAGTGGCCTCAGGGGCGGTCCCCCTGCAGCCCAGCAGTTAACAGATGCCTTTCTTAATGCAATAAAATGTTTGTCATGTATGACTCCGGGACATCTGTGTGATCCTGGAGTTAATCAGGACCAGACTGAGGCTCTCCGTCACCATCAGAGCGTTGGCTGTGAGCCCAACTCCACGTGGAAGCTATAAAGTGAGACGCATGGGGAACAGGCCGCCCATTAGCAGCAGCGATTAAGTCACTGGCTCTCAAACTTGGCTCGGACTGAATCCTGTGCCTGGTCCCCATGCCCAGAAACCCTGATCGAGCTGACCCTCGGTCCGCTGGGCACCCGGAACCTGGCAGGCTCCACAGGAGAGCCGCCGGGTTCATCGCTGCGTTTGAACCAAGGCGTCTAACTAGTCCTCTCTCCCTCGTGTCCAGCTTCAGTGGGACGTGTTTGGTCCAGAAACGCAGCATGATGGAGTGAGCTGGGAAGATGAGGACGGAAGGGAAGGCAGGGCCACAGCTCCAGGCAGGCATCTAAGACGTTCCCAGAGCGGCCTGAGTGCACACAGCCCGTGCCATGTGCCAGCAAACGCGTACGAAATATAAGAAATGGGTGAGGACATTTGGTATGAGGAGTGAAGGGCGTTTTTGCTTGCCTTGTTTATTCCTCCCGTAAGCCGAGCGGTCTTGACCCCATCAACAAAACGAGGGCAGGGAGTCCGTTGTCTGCACAGTCTGGCCAGAGCCAGGGCCAGGAAAGCCTCGCGGCTCCTGGATTGACCGGGGCGGCTTTGGAGAACTTTCTCCAAGAGGAGAAAGCTTTGGCTCAGCGGCACTAAGAGATAGCACAGTGGAAGCAGAACCGAGAGCTCTCCTCCCTGGGGGTGGGGAGGGGGTAGGAAGTGATCTCAGTTCTTTATTAACTGCCTCGATTAGGTCAAAACTGGACTCGACAAGTTCTCTCGCATTATGTCATTTAATTCCCACAAACACCCTGGAGGGAAGGAAGTATCTCTCATAAATATGAAGAAACCCAGGCTCCGAGCTTCAGTAATTTGCTGTTTCCACAGCTAATAAGTAGAAGAGCCAGGATCCAAGCCCAGGCCTTCTGGCCTCCAGATCCCCTCCCGGCCCCCTCTGGGCCACCAGTCCCCCCTTGAATCTTGCTTGAAGTACGACAGTTGGGAAAGTTGAGGTGTTGGCCGAAAGCGGCATTTCAAGCAGAGTCGCTGGGGCTCCCCTCCTGTGAGGGCCTCGGTCTGGGAAGCCGGGAAGTCAGGGCGGTGCCCGCGGGACAGGGCCAGGTGTGGGTTCCTTAGGGCTGAGGTGTTGCCCATCCAGCAGGAGACCCAAGCTCCAGGTCAAGGCCAGCATTATTTCTATCAGAGAAATGAATGAAGCGAGTTTGTGCACAGGGAGAGCGGTGCCGGGGAAGCCCCACGGCAGATGGCACCACAGCTGTCTGCCCAGGAGAATGAAATGATCCCTGAGACCTAAAGCAGCACAGGCATGGCTCATCCCAACCTAAACGCACACCTGAGGACACTGGGTAAGAAAAACGGTGTGTGTGTGTGTGTGTGTGTGTGTGTGTGTGTGTGTGTGTGTGTGTGTGTGAATCCTCACCCAAGGACGTGCTTAGAGAGAGGATTGAGAGAGAGAGACATCGATCGGTTGCCTTCTGTACGTGGCCTGACCGGGGATTGAACCTGCTACCCAGGTATGTGCCCTGACTGGGAACCAACTGGCAACTTTTTGGTTCAACCAACTAAGCCACTCTAGCTGGGCAGGGTGGATTTTTTAAAAAATGTAGTATGGAAATTTGCTCATGAATAAAGCAGTATACGTATAAATGCAATTCCAACCGTCACTTTTTAATTCTGACCTTTACACAGAGAGAAGGAAATTTTCCCACAGATCACCGGTTGAGTCCTACAAGTTATCTTTTCCCTCTGTTTACTTTTTTGGCCTCTTCACATTTTTTTGGCTGTGTACTGGTTCAGGAATTGGAGGAAAACATCAAAATGTACAATTTTGTGAAGCTCCAAATGAGCTAAAGACTTGTCCCCTTAGGTCTTTTTCCTCCCCGTCAGGGCATCTGGCTGCCATGGAGACGAGCCCCCATCAGGAAAAGATGCTCCTCTTGTGGAAAGTGGAAGCCAAAGCAGCCGACACCGGCCCACGAAGCTCCCGTTTGCAGTCGCTCGGCCTGGGCAGGTGTGGGGAGCTCCCCCTCACCTCTGAGCCTGAGGACCTTGCAACCTGAGGACAGAACAGAAGACAGCGTTCCCTTCATGAGACTCCCCTGTTCTTGGTGGACAAAGCAATACGTGGGCAAGGGCTCGAGCTCTGCACTCGGCCAGCCCTGGGCTCTGTGACCCACTGGCTCGGTCGCTGAAAACCTCATGGCCGAGGCAAGCCAGGGACCCTCTCTGAACCACGATTCCTCCACTGTAAATAGGAGTAACAGTAACGCCCGGGGTGTGAGGATAAAGTGAGATAACGTGTGTACGGTAAAGCGCATGGCGCAGGCTCTCGGTAAATGGAAACGGCTTATGAATGATTGATCTTGCCTGAAGAAGAATAGGCTGATGTCTATTATCTTTGGTTGAAAAGAAGAGAAAGTTCCTGGCTGGTGTTGCTCAGTGGATTGAACATCGCCCATGGACTAAGGCAAGCATATAGAATGCACAAGCTGCGGGCCGCATGCCTTGGAGACGTGCGGCCTCTCCGCCCGCCCCCCACCCCCCAGCGTGAATTTGACATGCTTGGACTAAGAGGTCCTGGGTTCAGGGCACATACCCAGGTTGCTGGCTTGATCCCCAGTAGGGGTGTGCAGGAGGCAGCCTATCGATGTGTCTCTCTCATCAATGTTTCTCCCTTCCTCTCTATCTAAAAATCAATAAAAACATTTAAAAATAGTTTAGAAAGAAAGAGAGGGAGGGAGGGAGGGAAAGTTTAGGAGAAGATGCATCCCGGGTGCAGATAGGACCCAGGCCTGTGGAGGAAAAAGAGAACCTGAACTTGGAGGCTTTGGGCCCATTGGCAGGACCTGCCTGGTGATACAGTGCCAGAGGGAGTCTGAACAAGCTGACCGCCTCCAGCTGCCCTCCCGTGGCTGTGGCTCGGGGCTGTGCCATGGGATTCCAGGTGACGGATCCGACCAAACCAGAAGGCCCCTCCACAAATGACAAAACTGGCTCGTAGAGCCTGTGACTCGCTTGAGAAGAGATGACATTTCTTGCCCCCCAATCTGCTCATTTCATGCAGAGTCCCCCCTCCCCCCTGCTTTTAAGAAAACCCAGAGGTCCTGCCAGCAGCATCAGGGGTGACTTTGCTGCATTGTGAGCCCCCTGATGAGGAGAGTTTGCTCTCCCTTCCTCCTGTGAGAGGAACAAGCAGAACATCTGCTTCTGGGGCTGGGTCCCTGTCTGACGCCCAGAGGGTGGGCGGCTGGAGGCTCTCGTCCAAGCTGATGAGTCTGAAGACCGGAATCTGGGGTGACCAACAATGAGCAAAGGGCAGTCTCCCCAGGGTGCTGGCCGGGAGGGAGAGCCTGGAGCGGCCAGGAAAGGCCTGTCCTGTGGGCAGAGGCTCCAATCCAAGGGTGGACCCCACTCCAGGCCTCATCAGTCTCCGCCTGCCCACGTGTGGGAGGGGCACAGGACACCAGCACTCGTGACTCACTCCCCTGCGCCTCGGCCCTGAACTTGAATTGCAGTCCTTGCCTGACCTGTGAAGAGCATGCCCTCGCCCCCACCCAGCATGCCGGAGCCACGGGCGTGATCCCCGATATCAGCAGCTGGAACGGTTACCATGTCTGGAGGACCCATTGGTGCCAGTGCCTATTCTCAGTGTTTACCATAGAAGGGGCCTTGCTCAAGTCCATGCTCGAAAAGGTGACAGAGCCAAGATTCTCCGCATTGCTCCCCAAGGCCGTTATGCCAGCCAGCCCTCGAACCTCCTGCGTTCTCCAAGGCAGCCCCATTTCTGACCTTTCCTCTAGGCGTCCCCAAGGCACCCTGCCAAGCTCCTCCTTCCTCATCTGTGGCGGGGAGACGCTCGCTGGGGGTACACACCTGGGGGAGCACCGCCCCGTGTTCTGAGGCACCCAGCTCAGCCCGAGTGTGGGGAGAGGACTGGGCTCTCTGGGAGCCTGGGACAGACCACTCCCGAAAAGCCATCACCTCTGACAGACAGATATACAGAGCCTCCTTTGGGTCCCATCAGTGAGATCTAGAAGTCAGGGGGTCACCTTTGCTCAACCCCACATACCTCTAGGAGCATCCCGTGGAAGGGAGAGTGGGGAGATCTGCCCGGGCTGTGGCCACAGCGGCAGCAGCTGGCCTCACAGCAGCCTGGGCAGTGTCCTCCCAGATCATTCCACACAGGACAGGAGAGCCTCATCTGGAGGTGGTGAGGGGTGGTCCTACCCACAGGAGACCACACCACCACGCCTGTCGCAGCTGCAACCTCACAGGCTGCCCTCAGAGCCAGGAGAGCCAGGCCTGGGCCCCTCTTCTTCAGACACAGGTGAGGGCTGTGCGCAGTGGGTGTCATGGGCACTGTGGGGTCAGTAGGGGAGGTGGGGCTGCCCGGTGGGTGATGACCTTCACTGGGTCTGGCATGTCATTCATCAGGGAAAAGGCCTGTCCCTTCCACTGGAAATGGGGTAGCAGTTAGAGTTAGACAGACACGAGCAGAGCAAGGACGATGGGCCAGGTGCAGAAGGTCACCAGGGCAGAATGTCCCGGCCACCGGCAATGGGAAGAACGCAGAGCAAGCATTAGAGATAAGTTTGTTAATCAGAACCTCGCCCTGGGGACCCCTCTCCACCCTAGAACGCCTCCGGTCATGCAGGTGGGATTCTCCTGACCTTTTCTCCCCTGGTACATGGTGAAGCCATGTGGTAGGCCCCCACCCCTAGAGGAAAACAAGGGGGCCGGAGGAAGCCACATCTAACTTCCAGGCAAGGACAGAAGATGACCGGACAGGCCCTGATAAGTCAGCTGGCAGAGGAAAGCATTTAACCCCCGTTCTGAGGGGCTAAAAGGAGCCCTAGCCACGCCCAGGGCATCTTGAAATTCCTCTCTGGGTGTACTTTCTCTTTGCTTGCCCAATAAACCTCTAGCGAGTCTGAGTCTTGGCTCTGAATTCTTTTCTCAGCCAGAACTCAAGATCTGAGGTTGCTGAACCCAGGTCTCATCTGACCCCAGAGGTCAGACACCTGGTGATGGGAAGAGGCCAGGGCAGGCCAGAGTGGCTTTGTCAGGTGGTCCCCAGAGGGTCTCACTGTCAGTGGGCAGGACACAGGGCAGCCGCTGACCAGGAACAGGCTGAGAGAAATGGCTGAGAAGAGGGAACCTAGGCCAGTGTCACCTAATAGCTCCATTATCTGTTGTCAACCTCCTAGTCGTTAACATCTTAGTTTCTAAGAAATAGCTTAGTTTTCTATTAATATATTAATTGACTACTATTATGGACTAAATGTTTGTGTCTCCCCGACAATTCATATGTTGAAACCTTACTCCCCAATGAATGGTGTTAGGAGGTGGGGCTTTGGGAGGTGATTAGGATTAGATGAGGTCATATGGGTGGGGCCCTCGTGAATGGGGTCAGTGCCCTCATCCGTGTCACAAGAGTTTGCTTCCTCTCCAGTGAGGACACCAGAGGCCAGTGGTCTGCATGACTGCCTCGCCCGTAATAAGAGTTGTCACCAGAGATAACTTTATATGACCAATCGGTGGGGCAGGAAAAACACCTAATCAGGGAACATCTGCTCTTACCATCCTGCAATGACCTCCTGCCCCTGAAGGCCCCGGGGCTGACCTCATCCCTGGCTCAGAGTGTCCTCTAGGCGTCCCCTTTCTGTCTCGGAACCCCTGTGCGCGTGAGTCTCTCTCATGCACACAGGGCTCCCATCCATGTGTATGCAATTAAATTTGGTCATTTTCTCTTGTTGCTCTAATCTGTCTCGTGGAGATTTAATTATTAGAGCAGCCAAAAGAGCCTGGGAGGGTAGAGGAACGTGATCCTCCCCCCACATGCATCACTTCTGCCTGCTTCTCTCTGCCAGATTCAGTCACTGCCTTCGGGGCTGGCAGGTGTGGGCCCTGCTGGGCAGCCACTTCCCAGCCACGACTCGCAGGAGGCAAGGGGAACCCCATGTGGACCCTGCTGGGCAGCTAGTTGCCTCTGCCACCAGGTCAGTCCTTATTTCCAAACTCTTGATTGTCAGTGTGTATCTTCTAAATGTCGCAGTTGTCTGCTAACGCCTGGGTCTACAGACATCTCCCCAGTGACAACTGTCTGTCTTCTAACTGTGAGAGCTGCTGGTTGTGGCTGCAGCACAGCTGGCAGTTGCAGACTCACGCATCCCTACCCTGCCCGTGGCCGCCTGCCTTCTGTCCTAGACTCCAGCCTCACCCCTGAGATGTGTGAAATCGCAGACCGACTTTGTGTCAGTGTATAAATGACTGATTTTAACTCCAAACGTTTGTTTGTTGGTCCCCAACTCTCCCCACTCCTTCCTCCGCGAGACTCACATGTTGGCTTTTGGAGTGGGTTTGGAGTGTTGTTGTTTTTTTGGTTTGGAGGGTGTGGGGCATTTTGAAAGGTAGAGAA